AGATGATACGTCAAGTTAGTCTACATTTAAGCAAAACCAAGTGTGGACTCTGGGACAGCCCAAGAATCTGGTGGGTTTCATTGCTCAGCCTGAGGGCCACTACTGACAGGAAGAGGCCATTTGACTGACATGAAAAAAGACTAATCACAGATGTTGTTTTTAGCCATGTAAGGGCAGGTGATTGGCAAAACAGTGCTACAACAAAAACAGACCCCCATGAAAGTGCTATTCAGTGCAGCCACCAGGAAATACTGAGAGTATGCCATAAACTTCAACACCTTTTTTTCAATCCAGTGACTGTATCTTACTCAGAAAGGCTCATTGTCATCACAGTGTGCAGAACAAACAACTGCTCACCAGGGCCTGCACAACTTCACTTTCTTTTAAGTCAACTGTTAAGTGATGAAAGTCGAGTCAACGTCGACTAATTGTTAATGGCTTAATGAATAAAACCACAGGAGAAGGGAATGCTTTGCAACAAGCAACTTAAAAATCTCTGAGTTTTAAAATCAAGACGAAACTTAACTCCACAGAGATGGGCCCCAGAAGCTTGCAGATTGGCATCTGACATCCTTGCCCTTGGCAGAGGTCTGGGGTGCCAGGGAAATTTACAGTGCCACCAGTTGCAAGTTGTTACAGGATTATAAGATGTTATGCCCCCTCTCCAACGACACATGACATTGTAGTCTTCAGGAAACCAGAGATAACGCTGTTCAGTATCTGAACTTTGAAGCACTGTAGATCAGCAGGGAAAGCCCAGCTCCACAGGTCAGTAGAGAGATGTGTCCTTTCCAGCGAGCCCTTGATCACATCACTAGCCTTCAGGAAACCAGAGATACGGACCCTGAAATCACCAGGCTCCTCACTTGTTGTCCTCTCTGAGGCATTCATGTTCTCAGTGTCATAATCAAGTGACCGGCGACTAGTCGACAGCAAGTTTAAAGTGTCATGGCCAGCAAGTAATGTCGACTAGTCGACGAGTCTGTCCAGCCCCTACTGCTTACCACTGATGTCTACCTAGTATTTAAGTACACAAAAAAATGTTGACTGGATAAAAGAGTCTATGCAGAAGTGCATACAGGCATGTTATTTTATGATTAGAAATAAAACCTAGGGGCTGAATATGCTCCAAGAGAATTTCTCGTATAGAGGTCTACATAGCAATAAGAAAAAGCATGAGATGCATTTGAACATGTCCTCCAAACAATAGGTATTCACATTATCCAGCTGAATAGTTGTTTGAATGCAAAATCCATAATGTTCAGTTTGGTGCCATTCAGAGCCTTGTCAATAAAATCGAACAAGGAATAAAAAAGGGTCCAAATGATCCCACTTCTGACACCAATGTAACGTGCGGGTTCTCTCCAAGAAACTAGATGGAGTCAGGGGTCTGGTCCATAACTGAAGCTTTACTGAAAACTTACTCAAAGAAAGCAGTTTACACAGAAGAAAACAGCAGCTCTATGCTCAGTTCCAACCCAGAATACAACCCAGCTCGACTAGCATACCCTTGCAGTCTGTTCTGGCTTCTACCAAAACAAAACATTGACCCTACCTAGTCCTCCAGAATATAAGTCCCCACAAGAAAGCAGCATATAACAATTCCTAACTCGCAAAATAACCTAGTATTAACATGCACAAACTTTATAAAAAGCTGGCTATTTTCAACCACTTAGAACCCAGGCATATATTAATGCCACAGTATTTTACAGATTTTTTATTTAAAGTAAAAATGTTCAAGGTTGTGTAATAATCTTCAAAGTTAGGTGGTTTGCATAGCCATTGTACAGTAGTACATTGTACGGTTTTGCCAGTAGGTGGCGCTATGTTGTAGGTGTTTAGATAAATTAATTACAGTAACCCTTCACAGTTTCACTACTCTAGAGTCACTACATTTAATACTGATAATAGACTGTAGCCTGTAAAATGAAATAATTTTTGTGAGTCTAACGCAAACAGTTTTAAACTGTTTCTGTCAGATTTAAGTGTTGTTTTTGGAAATCCAATCAGTGGCGTTTTTGTCAGTAAAGGATTCGCTTTATAAATTTGTTGTTTCACTTAATTATTGTGCATGAAATGTCTACCTGTGAGGTTGTGCTCTGCACAAACAATAGGGAGCAATTAATTTAATAATGAACAACTGAAGCCCAACACAGCAGTTAAGAGTAATATCATGTGGAGTAAGCGTTTTTTGGTGAGTATTTTCACTTAGAAATACAAAATTCCCAAGAAGATGAATATGGAACTTCATATGGAACAAAACTTCTAGCTCTTCTCTAATGTACTTACATCATTTGTACATATTCCAAACACAAATGTTTTCAACATTTGATATAAATATCTGAAGTAAAAGTTACACCATGTGACAGCCATGTTACTATGTGACATTTTTAGGCATACTAAATCAAAATTTAGCAACAGAAAAAGCTTGAAAGCAAATGAATAATGAATATGATATGAATATACTATGCCATACCATTGGCTACATGATCATTATTAATGGTTACATAGTGGGCCAAAACCTGCTGTTAGCTTGTTTTTTTTTAAAGTGAAATACCCCGACTGGCCACTTTAAAACCACCTCCTTGTTTCTACACTTATTGACCACTTTGCAGTTCTACAATTACAGACTGTAGTCCATCTGTTTCTCTGCACACTTTGTTAGCCCCCTTTCACCCTGTTCTTCAATGGTCAAGACACCTGCAGGACCACCACAGAGCAGGTACTATTTGGGTGGTGGATCATTCTCAGCACTGCAGTAACACTGATGTGGTGGTGGTGTGTTAGTGTGTGTTGCGCTGGACTGAGTGGATCAGACACAGCAGTGCTGCTGGAGCTTTTAAACACCTCAGTGTCACTGCTGGACTGAGAATAGTCCACCAACCAAAAATATCCAGCCAACAGTGTCCTGTGACCACTGATGAAGGACTAGAGGATGACCAACACAAACTGTGCAGCAGAAGATGAGGTACTGTTTCTGACTTTACATCTACAAGCTGGAAACAACAAGATACGAGTGTCTAATAGAGTGGACAGTGAGTGGATGCAATGTTTAAAAACTCCAGCGACACTGCTGTGTCTGATCCACTCGTACCAGCTCAACACACACTAACACACCACCACCACGTCAGTATCACTGCAGTGCTGAGAATAATCCACCACTCAAATAATACCTGTTCTGTAAAGGTTTACTTTGATGAAAGTGTGAAATACAGGGGATCCCGGGGTTGTCCAGGACTTCCTAATTAACCTATTGGGCCCCTTGAATGTCTCAGAATAAAAAATTCTGGGGATCCCTGAAAATTAACTTATGACATTAAGCTATAATTTAAGCATGTTCAGCCTGCTTTACCCACTCGAGCTTCTGTCTTTGGCATCCGTAACTAACTAGAGCTACAGCACTGCTCTGCCTCAGAGTAGTGCTGTAGCAAATTTGTTCACCCAGTTGGTCCTTCATGGCTTAGCAACCGCAACTATGCCCTGGATAGCTCTAAAACACTTTACAACATGCCGTAACATAAAACTTTCCAAGAATTTGGTGGAAAGAGTAAATTGTTACTCATTTATCGAAGCGAAGACAGAAGATCTCAGTGTGGAAAGCTGCATTACGTAACTAGAAATGAGCATTTCCAGCAGATAAACTGTTAAACCAAACCTTTTCTTGCCATTAAAGCTAACATCAGTGCCACTATGCCGAGTGAGTTTGCAGCTAGTCAATGCCGGAGTAGGCAGCCAACATGGGACCCCCCGAATACCAAGGGGTATTTCGCACCCTGACTGTAATAGCATGGGGGATGTTCTCAGAACATTGTGAGGATGCCAGAAATTTCACCTGTGGGACGTCCTAAAAAAACAGCTTTTAATGCCATCCTGAGAACATCCTAAAGATGTTGTGTTGTAAACTGGGAATCCCACCCCTTACAGAGCAACGGGGATGATGTGGGCCCACACACCTCCTCACTCTCCTATGGCTGAATCATAATCTTGCAGGTTAACAGGTTGAAGGGAAAGGTGGAGGTTTAGGACACATCAGATTTCAAATCTACACATTTTAGATTTCTGATTCAGGCTGCTGCTCAAACCAGTCCAGAGATCATGCAATCACATGATCACACACACATGCTGAGGATATTTCCCTGTTCCACCCACTCAGAGGAGATTCCCTTCCTGTCATCACCCCCACCCCCACCACGAACCCCCCCCCCTCCTCCTCTGGATGAAGACTCAAATGAACAGATTCGTGTAAGTTCCAGTCATTCCTGATTTGCCTAAGACCTGACTCATCGGACACTCTTTAGAAACCACACTGAACACTCCTGCACACGGCGCATGTGCCGGAGTGTCACCGCACACACACACACACACACACACACAGTGGGGCTGGCTCGGGCGGATTGATGTCGTGACGTCAGCACGCAGCAGTTACCTTGCCGGAGGGAGGGAGTGAGAGAGGGGGGATTAGAGAGAGAGAGAGAGAGAGAGAGAGAGAGAGAAGAGCGAGAGAGAGAGAGAGAGAGAGAGAGAGAGAGAGAGAGAGAGAGAGAGAGAGAGACGCGCTAATCTCCAGGGAAACGGGCACGTTCAGAGTAATGAGCGGTACCGGTCAGCGACTTTAGGAGAAAGAAAAAAAAAAGAAGACGAAAGAGGAGGTGAGAGGGAGTGAGAGAGGCAGAAAGAGAGAGAGAAAGAGAAGGAGAGAGAGGAGAGAACAGTGCTGAGGATGAGCCTAAAGCTGTTTGGACCCTGAGGGCAGCGTTTCCCCCGCTCTCTCTCTGACTGAGGTAAGGCCGCTTCACCTTCAGCACAGAGAGCACACACACACACGCGTTTGTTTTACACAACTTGTGAGGACGTGCATTGATTTCTATTGATTTTTGTATGACTGCAGCCAAGTAATACTACACCTAAACCTAAACTTAAGCTCAATATTTGAAAGGCAGTTTTTCTGCTCTCTTAGTTTTTCCCCAAAAAATTGAATTCGTGCTGGAAAAAATGCAAAACGTCCATACTTGTGCACGATTGTCATGTTGGCCTGACGTTGTGAGGACATGTGGTCCTCGCAAGGATAGCAAGACAAACATACACACACGCGCGCGCACAGTCAAACAGCTCAGCGCGCGCGCGAGGCTTTTAAACTCGGCTTTTCGCGAGTCTGAAGTGCGTTTAGTGTGATTTTAATGAAGAAAGGTAGAGCTGTACGGTGAGAGAGAGAGAGAGAGGGAGAGGGAGATACAGAGAGAGAGAGAGAGAGTGAGAGAGAGAGAAAGCTCAGCTTTGTGGACGGCGCGCGGAGGCTGCGAGGTGCTAAAACTGAGGTGAAGTGTTTCTCACACTGAGCGCCGCTCGGTTTAACGGAGAGAGGCTATTCCGGAGATTACGGACTCTAATGGAGTGACAAAGTGACACAGAGAAGGAGAGAAAACCCGGAGAGAAGAGGAGAGAAGAACCGCAGGAGAAAAGAGAAGAAAAGCAGAGGGGAAAAGAAGAGCTAAACAGAAAAGGAGAGCTGAGGAGAAGAAGAGAAGCTGAGGGGGAAAGGAGAGCTGAGGAAGAGAAGAAGAAGAAAAGAAGTAAAGAACAGAGGTGAAGAGGACAGAAGAAAGGAGAAGCGTTCTGGAGAAAAGCTGAAAAGTCGTGAGTGAAAAGTTTCAGTTCTCTTTATTTCCTTCATTCGCCTTTTAGCCTCAACACTGAGTGAAGCGGAGCTCCGGCACTGACAGCAGCGCTCAGCACAGCTCAGTCACTCACTCACACACACACTCTCTCTCACACACACACACACACATACACACACATACACACACTCTCTCACACACACACACATGCACACACACACACATACACACACTCTCTCACACACACACACATACGCACACACACACATACACACACTCTCTCACACACACACATACACACACTCTCTCACACACACACACATACACACACACACACATACACACACTCTCTCACACACATACACATACACACACACATACACACACTCTCTCACACACACACACATACACACACTCTCTCACACACACACACATACACACACACACACATACACACACTCTCTCACACACACACACATACACACACTCTCTCACACACACACACATACACACACACACACATACACACACTCTCTCACACACACACACATACACACACACTCACACACACACCCACATACACACTCTCACACACACACATTCGGTTCATTTCAGCTCATTTCAGCAGAGCTGGATTACCTATTAGTTTGACACTCGTCTGTCTTTCTCTCTCTCTCTCTCTCTCTCTCTCTCTGTCTCTCTCTCTCTCTGTGGTAAATATCACACCCCTGTTAGTGTCTCTATAACCGCTCTCACCTACACGTGAAGAAGGAGCCACTTCCACCCGCTCAGGGCGAGAGTTTTAGAGCTTTTAGATATTTGAGGGCTTTTAGGGCTTTTAGGGCTTTTAGGTGTCGGTGTTACTTTTACAGCCACCGGCTCCTCCGTCTGAGGACAAAAGAGCGGCGGAGGTGCTGCCGCCTCACCTTCACCAGGCACGAGCGTCTCACTGCGTGTGCGCGCGCGCGTGTGTTTCTAGGTGTTTCTCACAGACTGTTCAGCTCAAAAAGGTGCACATGACTGTAGAACCTCCTCCATATAGCCTCAGTTCAGTTTCAGTTGTATTGGACTGAACTGAATCAATTTGAATTAAATTCAGTGCAATCCGTATCAGCTCAGTGAAGCTCAGTTCAGTTCACTTCGGTTCAGTACAGTTTGACATTTTGAACGAAACTGAAACAAAGTGAGTTCAGTTCAGTTCAGTGTAGTTTAAAATTAGTTCAGTTCTATTTGGTTCAGTTTACATGAATTGAACTGAACTGAATCAAAGTGAATTAAATTAAATTCAGGTTAGTTCAGATCTGTTCTTTTCAGTTCAGTTTGCATGAATTGAACTGAATAGAATAACATTCAGTTCAGTTACTTTCAGCCTAGTTTAGCTGAGTTCAGTTCAGTTTTGTTTCAGATCCTCTTCTGGATGAAGTTAACAAATGAATCTGATTTATTGGCATGACAGGTAATGTGATTAATTATGTTATACTAAAATAACATACTGAACATTGCTGAGTCTGTAAAATGAACTGTTAAGGCTGTACATGAAACATATTAAACTAACTGAATCCCCCCCCTCCCTCTGCACGTGTCTCAGACCTGCGTGTCCTGGACAGATCGAGGACCTCTTCTGCCCCCCTCAGAGCGCATTAGTGAGAGTGTGTGTGAGCTGTAGCCCCATCTGAACCGGCCCGATGATCCGGCCCGGCTGCAGTCCCCCCGTGCTCTGAGCTTCAGATGGACTGTGTGCGCTCAGCCCTGAGCACTAAAATGCATTGGGTCACTCTGCTGCTGGCCGGCGTCACTTTCTGGGGCAGAGTGTCCGTGAACAGCTGCTTAGACTACGAAGACACGTACGACTATTATGAAGAGGAGAAAACGGACTCTATAGACTACAAAGATCCCTGCAAGGCTGGTAAGAGTCATTCATTTTTCTACATTTCTGCATAATTCAGTCGTTCAGTCATTCGGAGTGGTTTGATGTGAAATGGCTGATTGTAGGGAATTTTACAGACTCACACTTCTTTACAGTCGTGGTGATGGGAACCAGGGGTTCCGCCGTCTGGTGTACAGAGATTTCTGTTTTATTTGATATCCAGACAACACATTTCCTCTGTGTTTTTATATGTGATGTTGTTAACAAAGTAGCTGTAGTTATCATTATTAGAATATCTGAAAAACATTTTCTTTGAATTCAACTTCAGTCATGCCCTGAAAGTGCCTCTCCACCATGAATGGCTTTGTAAAAATACATTTAGGTCAAAACTTTCTCAAAGCTATTGTACAAAAACGTCTCAGGCATCAGGCAATGTACTCTTAAGCACTTACTTTCTGGGAGGGAGCTTTTAGAGGCATTAAACTCTTCAGACGTCTGGTTCCCATCACCTCCACTGTGAACAAATTTGATTTGGTAACTTTGAATGACGCATGTCAAATCAAACCACTCTGAATGACTTTGTTTGCATCTTAGTGATGTAAATAAGCAGAGATTTTGAAACATTGGTGGAATTTCCCTTCAACACAAGTACAGCGCTTGCTAGATACTCATTCTTATGTTAAAGCTAAGCCACATGTTGTTACTGTTATTATCTTGGCACCTACTTCACTTTGTTTAAGGCAGTTGTGCCATTTCAGGCTCAGATGAGGTTCAGTCTTTTGCTCTTTTCTCTGCAGTATCTAATGCTATTGGCCAAATACCGATACCAGGTATTGGATACACAAAAAAGGTTTATGTGTGTCCTGTGATGCACTTATTTCTTTAACAATCGATTGATACATGAAAGTTCTCTTTCTTTGTTTTTCATGACACTTCAGTCACGAATCAGGGACCCATATTCATCAAAATAAGAGCTGATCTTGGATTAGTGTATCCATATCAATGTAAACAGGCTCAAGACAAAAACTGATCTTAGATCAGTGCTCAGACTGCTTTGATACGAAAGAGTGAAAACTGTCAAAAAATCGCATAAATGAATGTATGAAACAGCATAACTTAAAGCATAAATTCTCCATTTTTGTCATTTTCTCATAATTTAAAAATTCCACCTGCAGTTTACATTTTGTATGACGTCCATGATGTATAGACCAACAGATCTGGTCAAAAATGATCTAGAATAAAATCTTGTTATATTAACTTACATTGAAAGTTGAACTTTTTTTTAGAGATACAAGGTTTTGTTTCTGACAGCAACAATATGCTTTTAATAATAATGAACAATCTATCAGTTTACATATTATTAATGTTTAACTAATGTTTATTAATTTTTATATGAAAGAAACCATATCCTACATTTTTCTTGTGCTTCATTTTTTCTCTCGAAGACCATTTTTTATGACATTTGTTTGTTTTTTGTACCAAATACAGTCATAATAAATTTTTACATGACCATTTAAATGACCATTTTCCTCAAAATGGAGCTCATATATGTAAATAAGCTCTAATCCTAATGGCTGCCCTGTATTGTGCCTCATTCAAAAAGCAGTTCAGGCTGAAACACTCCTTATAACTTCAGTGTGAGTGGGTGGGGCAAACCTGCTGTAGGCTGAACTACCAGATGTTTGTCAGTGTGTTTGTTTCCATGACATTATAAAAACACTAAATTCAAAACAGGCTGCATGGACTGCAGAGTGACCAGTACATTTCAGAAGTTTAACAGTGTTGATATACCACAACTCTTTCCATGATATTGGCCCTTTAATGGTACCATATGCATCACACCATCTCCTCCCCCTCCTGACAGACTCAGCTTTAATACGGTTTCCCTCCTCTTGGCACTCAGCCTGTGGCTCCTGAGGCCACGTGCTCAACCGGCCCACGTCTGTCCCTGCAGTCAGAGTCACTGCTTTAATTCATCACAGCGAAGTTCACTGACCTATAAATATTAATTAAATACTATTAAATAATATTGAGTGTATCTGCTCTTGATAAATGACATTCTCAGGTCTCACACCTTCATTTTCCATTGACACAACTGCCAAACAGGGACTTCATCATAACTTAGTGACAATATTTTATTGCTATTGTGATAAATTAAGTCACAATATGCTTTTCTGAGCATATCATAGATAAGATTATTACTTAAAGAACGCTGACTAACTGCATGTTTCATTACAAAAAGAGGAGAATTAGTCCGGTTTAATTGGATTTGGTGCTGGGCAGTTTGTGAAACATGAATACAAATCATTATAGTTTTAGGTTTATTATAGTATTTTTTTTGTTTGGCACTACAGGTTTCGTTTTGTCTGTTCCACCTCATCAAATCTCAGAAAAACAAAATGGTTATGCATATCGTGTATCGTGAAAACGTCTTGAAGTATCGTGATATAATATTTTTATCATATCATCCACCTACCTCCTTATTGTACTCCTTTTTGGAGAAGAAAAACAGGAATAAATGACACAGCCAGGTTTAGTTCTTGCTAATCAGCCTATGTGAACATTAGCAATGTTAGCAAGTGTTGTGAACACCACAAGGAGCAAGCTAACACAGCATCATACCTCTTTAAAACCTCACGGATAACAATGTAATGGAAGGTACGCAAAGGTAGAGAGGGTGATCGGGAGATTGGACCGGTTACTGTGAGCCTATGTACAAACTCATAAGCACACGAACGTTCAGAGAAACTATAAATGTTACATCCAAGTGTATATCTGTAATAATTGAGCAGCCCCCACTTCAAGTGGTACAGCCCCCTGATTGCTAGGTCTTGTACAGCAGATAGAGATCAGATGAAGCTGAAGTCAGCTTCTTATTCTCATTTCTCGTCCACCTAAAATGAGGTGGCAGTTACATGGAGACTTGTGTACCACGTGTAACTGCTCCGCAATTTTAGGGTGGAACAGAAATTTAAATAAGAAGCTAACGTCAGTCACCGGAGATTAGCGTATCTGTGTGAATCTGGTACCGTGTTCACTCTCCAGTTCAGTTTTGCCAGCCCTCTTTTTTGATTGGTTACCTCGTGAAAAGTGACACATGACAAGTGCAGCTTTTGTGTTGAAGTTTTTGATTTGAAGTTGAAGCTTTTTCTGCTTGAACACTGAAGCTGGTGGATGGGGCTGTTTTATTACTGTTACAGAATGTGCTGTAAAGAGTGACGAAGCTCAGTGTGGTTGACCTGCAGAGTCCTGTGTGCGTCTGTGAGCGCCGTATGGCTCTGTGTGTTCATACACGTGTGTAAGCGTGAGACAGAAATGTGATGCTGCTGCTGTAAAGCAGATTATTATTTATATGTGATAGACAGCTGGACAGCTGTACACAGGCTTATGCTGCGTTAACATGTTGCCATTGAAAAAACCCTCAACGATATGGGACTCACTGCGGTACTGGAATACCTGTATATATGGTGCTTTAGTGTAAGGCTGGGCAATATGATGATATTTACTGTTGTTGTGATAAACTATGCCACAATATGCTTTTCTGAGCGTATAAAGGACATCGTCAGTATTTAGAAAACACTTCCCAGCTGAATGTTCCATTCCAAAGGAGTGTGAAATATTGAATATTAATGCGGGTTGGTATGACAGTAATTATCGTTACTATCGTTAGCTTAGCCAAAACTCTAATGCTTTTAGCACTTCTAAGCATTTTTCTAACATAACACAGTGTAAGGTTATAAAAATACTTTATAAAAACCTACCTAACTTGTTTATTTGTGTATTGTTTTGTCCTTTTCACTCTCGATCCATCACAAACCTTCGCCCCAAGACAAAAATTCAGACACGCCTTACCTAAACTCAGCGCAAAATAATAGAAACCTGGATGTCAGATATGCATGTTCAGTGCTTGTATTCCCAAAAAAAACCCAATATTTTTAATCTAGTTGGAAAAACTGAACTCTTGACAGAATGTTCCTCTGACCGCGCTGCTGATTCCATCGTGGCTTGGTTGAAAGTTGTGGAGTTTGATGCCTTCTGTCCTCTGTCATAAAGTAAACACAACTTTAGATGTGGAGTGGTATTGGTTTTAAGGCCTAACCTCATAAAAAGACAAAACCATTTGTCCTTTTTCATTTTTAGTTCCAGTGCTTAAAAAATTTGCCACTGTTACTCAAGGAATCAATTTTCCATTTTCTTCCCGCGTTCTCATAGTGTTTAAAGAGATCTCAGACTTTGTGTGACGGTTCCACTACTACAGAAATCATACTTGGTGTGGTCAGGCCTTTAATTAGTCTGCACTGCAGAGAATGTAAGTCTCTCTGTGTACTTGTCTTCATCACTTTGTGGGGACTATATCTGTCATTATTATGATGATGAGAACACATCACAGTTTTGTACAAGTGAGGACATTTTGCTGATCCTCACAAGAAAACCTGCTGTTTTCAAACATTTTTTTAGTAAAAGTAAAAGAGCAGAAAGGTTGTCTTTTGGTTACTGAGTTAAAGTTAGGGTTAGGTTTAGGTTTAGGTTTAGTCTAATTTGGCTACAGTACTACAGACGTCAATGAAAGTCCTGATCTGAGTGCACAGGGAGGAGCTGAAAGACTGTAACGTGCTGTCTTTCTCTTCCTCTGTTCTTTTTTTGATGTTTGTGCATGTGTGTGAACCAAACTCCACCCAAAACTGAACAGATGTTTAAAATGCAGTCTGTACTTACACTCCTCTGAAATGCTTTGTCTCTCCCTTTCTTCCTTTCTCCTCTCTCTCCTTCTCTTGCTCTGTTCAGTCTCTCTCACTCTCTCCTTTCTCTCCCTCCCTTTCTCCCTCTCTTTTCTTTTCTCTTCTCTGTCTTTTTTCTCTCTTTCCCTCTTCTGTATATTGTTCATTCAGTAATTGTGTAAATCTAAGAATGTCTCTAACTCTTATGTGTTTTTATCACTGTTTCCAAATTGTTCCATATGATCTTAATGATAGACTCACACACAGACTCACAGACATGATGTGTACATGTGTGTGTATGTGTGTGCGTGTGTGTGTATT